AGGAGAAGAGACCTCTCGTTAGAGAGGCTTGGCTATGATGAGAGAGAGAGAGAGAGAGAGAGAGAGAGAGAGAGAGAACCATAAACCTGGGGTAAGCGTGAGCCTGATTCTCAGCCAAAATGACACTCCTAGTAGCCACTTAATAAGGGTATGTTGCATTGAACTAAACAAGGGTGGGCTTGAAGATATAGGAGAAGGACAAGTGATGGCAGTAGACTGTGGGAGGAGAGGGGTTGAGAGCATGAGTTAAATCTTGCAGGAGGACAGGCAGATGAACGGAACACTCAGTGAATGTAAAAATGAACAGAGGAGGAAGATGGGAACGCTGAGTGTGGAATAGATGACGTTTGCTGGAGCCGGGGAGGCACACTGTAGATAACAAATGGGCTCAGGAGAGAAAGGGCTTCCAACCTTTTATTCTCTTCAAAGCAGTTTGGAGTTAGCCCTGATTCTAGTTTATGACTTTATCTGGCAACAATGGCTACCATATTTAGTATTTCATAGGCACTTATTAAGTTATTGATTTTATTTCTTTTTTTTAATATTTATTTATTTGAAAGGCAGAGTTACAGAAAGAGGAAGAGGGAGAGAAACAGAGAGAGATCTTCCATCTGCTGGCTCACTCTGCAAATGGCTGAAACAGCCAGGGATGGGCCAGGCCGATATCAGGAGCCAGGAACTCCATCAGGGTCTCCCACCTGGGTGGGCAGGGGCCCAAGCACTTGGGCCTTCTTCCGCTGTTTTCCCAGGCACATCAGCAGGGAGCTGGATCAGAAGTGGAACAGCTAGAACTCGAACTGGTGCCCATATTAGATGCCAGTGTCACAGTAATTCACTGCACCACAACACTAGCTAGCTCCTATTGCTTTTACTTCCGTGGTGGAGAACAAGGTAAGTTAGTGACAATTATGTCTAAAGTGAAAGCATAAAACATTGAGAAGAATCAGCAGAGGTGGGACCAGCACTGTGGTGTAGCGGGTAAAGCCACCGCCTGCAGTGCGAGCATCACATATGGGTGCCGGTTTGAGTCCCGGCTGCTCCACTTCTGATCCAGCTCTCTGCTATGGCCTGGGAAAGCAGTAGACGATGGCCCAAGTCCTTGGGCCCCTGCACCCATGAGGGAGACCCAGAGGAACCTCCTGGCTTCAGATCAGCTCAGCTCTGGCCATTGCAGTCATTTTGGGAGTGACCCAGCAGATGGAGGACCTCTCTCTCTACCTCTCCTTCTCTCTGTGTGTGTAACTCTAACTTTCAAATAAATAAATAAATCTTTAAAAAAAAAAAGAAGAAGAAGAAGAAGAAGAATCAGCAGAGGAACCAATGTGTCATTTAGGGAATGAACACTGCTCTGGCTCAGATGGCAAATCACTGGCAATCCATGTGAGCCCGTTTGAAAGCTGGGATTATTGGGAGCCGGCATTGTGGTACAGTGGGTAAAGCAACGCCTGTGATGCCAGCATTCCATGTGGTCAACAGTTCTAGTCCTGGCTTTTCCACTTCTGATCCAGCTCCCTGATAATGGCCTGGGAAAAGCATCAGAAGATGACCCAAGTGCTTGGACCCTTGCACTCACATAGGAGACTCGGATGAAGCTCCTGGCTCCTGCCTTCAGTCTTGTCCAATAATGGCTGTTGCGGCCATCTGGGGAGTGAACCAGTGGATGGAAGGTCATTCTCTTTCTCTCGCCCATTCTCTCTGTAACTGTCTTTCAAATAAACAAATAAATCTTTACAAAAATAAAAGCTGGGATTATGCAGGTAAACCACCAGATCCCTGGAGATGATATGAGTATGGGTTCACCACAAGAGCCTGCTGAGCCCCTTGGGGTTCTTTCGAAGTGCTGTCCCTTGCTATTTCCTGCGCGTCGTGCAGTGTGCTGTTACACATCTGGACTCTCAAAGCCTCAGAATAGTCCTGCAAAGGAGATTGTATGAATAGCCCTGCAAAGAAGATTGTATGATCCCCATTTTACTGATGATGAAACTGAAGAGAAGCAGGTGATTTGTTTCAAAGTTACTAATCAGGAGTCAGGATTTGAACCCAGGGTAGGCTGCCCACTTTCCAATCCCAGTGGTTTTGAATTTTGCTTGGGGTGGGGGGCACTGTCTTTGATTGCCTGTGTCAGTCCAGAGTAGAGGGAGAAGGGTCGAGAGGGGAGATCCTAACCCAGCTCAACCTGGGAAGCTCCATACTTGTCCATTGTACCCCAGGGCTTCTGGGTAAGCTTCAATAGGGCAAAGGCTTTGGAGGAGGAAAAAAGGAAGAAAGTTTGCATCACAGGGTTTTTGAAACTGTCAGGCTGACGCGTGACTGTTCTTGGAGTGTTGCTCCAGAAACACTTGGTGTGTGGGACGCATTTGCCCCCAGTTTTCACCCCTGGTGCAGCCATCCTCCACGTGACTGTCAGCATGATTTTCTAAAATGCCATCATCATGTTGCTCCTCTGCTTGGAAACCTTCCATGACGCAAAAATCCTTTTTTAGCATGGCTTAGGAGACTCTCGTTGATCTGGACCCCCATCCACTTCTCCAGCCTTGCCATTAACCGCTCCCCACCCAGCAGCCTCCTGCCAACCGCTGACTTACAGTTCCTGGTACTGGCAACACCCATGGGCCAACTCCCACTCAGCCCTCCAGCCTCCCTGTCTGGGAAGGCTTTGCTGCACCTGGGGCCTGGGCTCCCTCTGCACCCTTCCCCCTAACCCCCATGCTTACCTGTCACAGCCCTGCCTCTGTCCACTTTTCTTGCCAGTATACCCCGCTAGAATGCAATTTTGCATTATCTGCTTAGCTCTGCTTTGCTCCCCTGGAACGGTTTCTCAGGGAAGTTGCTCTTTCTCTTAGGATAAGCATACCAGTCTTGCCTGGAAAAGCATACCAGAAATGCCAATGGCTTGATGCTAGGCATGGGGAGTTTTCAGCATGGGAGTGTGGCCCCTGCAGCGCAGCCAAAGCTCAATTTTACATGGAGGAGGTAGGCTAGGCAATATCACATGATGAGAAAAATCTGTGGGGGAAGAACAGCTGACTACAGGAAAAACTACAGACAGCTGCTTGCTTTCGAATCTTCCAGCTGAGTCGGTTTTCATTCTGGACAGAGCAGGGTGGTGCATGCTTGTCTCAGGTCCCTAAATCCGCGAATAGTGAAGATGCTTAGGTTCAAACTTTCCCCGGAAAGAGGCTACTGAAGGCTCAGCACACGCCAATCTTCCCTCCAAGCCCTGAAGGCTCAGCACACGCCAATCTTCCCTCCAAGCCGGACACCCGCACACTCAGCCAGGTGGCAGGAAGGTGCTGCCCTGACAGCTTTCACCACGCCCAACCCACCTTGGCAGCTGTCAAAGGGGAGGCTGTGGTGCAGGAACCGCAGTCCTGCGTCAGTTAGCCAGTTTGTATCTATAAAATGGGCACACAGATGAAGGGGGCTTCACACCATATGCTATTGCCAAGTGCCAGAATCTACGGACCAACTGCTCACCCTTCCCCCTGCAATCGCCCAAGCAAAGAAGTTCAGTTAGAAGAAAAAGGAAATGCTATATCACACTGTGTAAATATGCTTAAGGTGTAGTTCCTAGGGACAAGGGACTGGCTGAAAAGAGCAACAGCAAGGCTTTGGGTCATTTCATGGATGAGAAGAAACTAATGGATTATTCAGGGAAGGTAGGAGTCTCCAGCACAGAGGAAGCAAGCAAGGAGACCCCCGGGCAGAGATGGAAACAGTGCTGGCCCCATTTCTTCCTGGTATTCAAGGACTGAGGAACACAGCAGTCTGAGTGTTCAGGGCTATGAGGGTCATTAAAATGTTTGTGGCAAAATAGAATGAAAAGGTAAGCTTGTCTGGGTGGGAAAAGCTTTCAGCTCCATTGCCTAGTTTTTTCAAAACATGCATTTTTAGTGAACTTTTTGAATGCCCCTGCTATGCACGGATTCCAAAATGTTTTGCACCAACATAAGCTTCTCTTTTCATTCTATTTTGCCACAGTTTTTCTTTCCAAAGTATCCTCTTACGGCGCTATTAAAAAAAAAAAAAATTGTTGTTCTCTAACGCAGCAAGGATCCCTGGCCACCAACTGCTTTCTCTCCTTTCAGGCTGAGTCAAGCCTCCTGTATTTAATTCATGCCATTTCTGAATGGAAGCAATTTCCCAAACTACAACTTATGTGTTAAACTTAATTTAAAAAAAAAAAAATGCCTTTGGGAGCAGGCGTTGTGGTGCAGTGGGTAAAGCCACTGCCTGTGACACCGGCATCCGATAGTCCTGGCTGTTCCACTTCCAATCCAGCTCTCTGCTGTGGCCTGGGAAAGCAGTGGAGGATGGCCCAAGTCCTTGGGCCCCTGCAGCCACATGGGGGGACCTGGAGAAAGTTCCTGGCTCCTGGCTCCGGATCAGCCCGGCTCAGCCCTTGTGGCTATGTGGATGAAGATCTCTATCTCTGCCTCTCTTTCTCTGTAACTCTATGTTTTAAATAAATAAATAAATATTTTCAAAAAACACCTTTGGGGAAAGCCCTATCTTGGAGTGGAAAATAGGGTCAGTGGGGGTGTCTCCCTGGAGGGTACAACTCAAGATCAATTACATGACTCACCACAAAATGTCAGAAATATAACTGCGCCTTTTCCCTTTCACTGTCCCAGGCCCCTTACATGATAACTCTTCCACGATGAGGCTGGTGCCAGAAGCCAGACTTAGAATTCCAGAGACGGGCAAGCTGTGTGTCTAACTCAGAGCCAATGAAAAGTACTAGGGAACTTCAAAAACTTCCAGGTAAGTTTACCTCCATGGCTTGAAATGCATGTGAGGTTATCCCACAATGGGTATTTTCCTGAACTTTTTGAAGACACCCCACCCCCCCTACATAGCTCCTCCCTGCGCAAAGCTCTGGCCATTTGCCTGCCCTGGGTCACTAGCTCATGGTCATGGTTGGTGACCTCTTCCTACCTCTTCCTTGAAAACATATGTGGCCTTTCCCTCTGCGGCTAGTCAAAAAAAAAAAAAAAAAAAAAAAAAAAGGCACTCAAAGGACAGCTCTGTCATGTGACTGGAAAAAAACATTTCGCTTTAATATACTAGAGAAGTCATCCTTGATACATTAGGACAGGTAGCATGGTGTAAGGCCTGGTAGCCTCAGGGGGAGGTAGCCTGGGGCTGACTCTGCCCTCACAGGGGGACCCTTTAATGGCCTCCTTCCGCTGCATCCACGGTTTAGTCTTAACTCATTCTTGCTAATAAATCCAGCGCTTCTGCCTGCCCAGAAATGGCTGCTGGCAGCTTGACTTTCCCTCTCCCAAGAAGGACCCTCTCCCTCTCCTAACTCCTTAGTCCTGAAGCTTTGGGCCTGGCCCGGCCGGCTTGGCTCTTGGCTCTCTTTCGGTTAGGGAGTGCCCTACCTCCCGGGTCCTCCTGGCCGGTGGCCGCAGGAACCTGGGGCAGGTACCTGAGACGGACCCCGACGTGCTGTCTCCTAGGGTGCGACCCTGGAGAACCCAGGGCGGAGTCCTCGCCGCAGCTTCGTGTCACCTCTGAGCTCTCCAGTTTTCATTGCCCTCAACGGTCCTGGAAGAAGGGGAACAGATGGCGGAAAAGGCCATGAATTTGCGCCACCCGGCTGGCCACGGTGTTCTTCTCCCTGGTCCGCGTCGCCGCCGCTCTCCTGTTTGTCCCCACAGCCGTCACGCCCGCTGCGCTCGGGGTCCGTCTCAGCGTCCACGCAGCGGCGGCGCTGCTGTTATTGTTGGCGTTGCCCCACTGGTGGCCGCCTGTCGCCTCGCAGTCCTCGGCCCCCGACAGCTCCCGCAGCCTCTGTGGCGCGTCGGGCCGCAGGTAGTGGCACGCTCGGTGGCCGCTGTGGTCGCGGCGCGTGGGGTCGGCGCCCAGGGCACCCACCAGCACCTTGATGACCATGTCGTGGCCTTGCAGCGCGGCCAGATGGAGGGGCGTGAGGCCGCCGCTGCCCGGGACGCTCACGTCGAGCGGCAGTCCCCGGCGCAGGGCGAAGTCGTGCAACAGAATGAGCTCCTCGTGGCGTCCGTGTTTGGCCAGCCAGTGCAGCACCGTGTAGCCCGAGATCGGATCGCACCGCAGCAGCAGTCCCGGCTCAGCTTCCAGCAGCTCCTGCAGCACTTCAAAGCGGCCCTCGGCGGCCGCCAGGATCCACGCGTGTTCCCGCGGCTCCAGGCACAGTCCGCTGCCTCCCTGCCCATTGAGTCCGCCGGGCCCTCCCGAGGACGGCTCCTCCGCGCGCTCCTCGGACAGCTTCCCGGCGGGAACCGCCCCCTGCAGCCCCAATAGCTCCCGCAGGGCTCCCCGTCGGCGTCCTGAGCCCGCTCCCGAGAGCGTCAGCGAGCCTTGGGAGGGGCACTCCCGGGGGGCGGCGGCGACGGCGACATTGCCCCGGTACCTGCCCAGGCTACCTGTGTCCACTCTCGAGAGGCGGGGCTGTGGGGCGCCCCGCAGGCTCTGCGCGGTTGGCGCGCGAGAGGCCTTGGGCTCCGGATCTGCGGTCCCTCGGGGCTGGGCCATGGTCTCGCAGCTGCCGCCGCAGTTCTTCCAGTGTCTAGCGTTCGCTGCCCCGTTCCCGGGCCCCACCGGGAGGGGAACTGGCGCTGGCGTTGGGGAAGGAAGCGGCTTGAGCAACTGGGTTCTGAGGGAGGGAGGGAGGGAGGGAGGGAGTGAAAGGGAGGAGGAGGGAGGGGGGGAGCGAGCTAGGGAGGGCTCCGCAAGGCGGTGGAGGGGTGAGAGCTGCCACGAAGTCCCCAGGGCGGGCCCAGCTCTAGTACCCAGGGTACCACCGCAACGGCAGCTCCCCAGGGTCACGGACGGCCCCGCCTCAAACGGCCAGGTGAGCTCACGGCCCCGCCTCCGGCACGGCGCGAGCCACCGAGGCGTGGGGGCGGGGGCGGGCAGCTGACCTTGCAGCCCCGGTTCTCAGCATCCTAGCAGCTGCAAGCGTCAAGGGGCTCTAGGGCGCCTCTCCCCGGCGGGCTGAGCTCAGCTTTTAGCTGCGGCCTGCGGGAGGGGAGCTTGATCTTTGAGCTCCAGGGCTCTCGCTCCCCGCCCCCTTCCTTTGCCCTTCCCTCTTATCTCAGCAGGAATCTCCCTGCACTTTGTCCCGAGCCGCCTTAGTCCTGGGCCTAGCTTTCACGGACGCCGCTTGGCTACCCCATGTGACTCTGGCTCGTCTGCCCTGCCCTTCGTGTGGCCTTGATCCTCTCCGCAGCGCCAGGGGCTGCCGGAGAAACCCGACACACTGGGGTCTAGGCAAAAGCCCTTCCATGGAACAGATGCAGAGACGGGGTATCCCCTGCTACCCCGCGGCTCCCTGCTCTGCTCTCCGCCCTCTTTTCTCCTCGTTGACCTTCCAGGTTAGCTCGTAGAAGCAGCTCCAGGTAAAGTGGAGCCAGCGCCACGGGAACACTCGACCTTATTTTTTTTTATTTTTTTATTTTTTATTTTTGACAGGCAGAGTGGACAGTGAGAGAGAGACAGAGAGAAAGGTCTTCCTTTTGCCGTTGGTTCACCCTCCAATGGCCGCCGCGGCGGGTGCGCTGCGGCCGGCGCATCCCGCTGATTTGAAGCCAGGAGCCAGGTGCTTTTCCTGGTCTCCCATGGGGTGCAGGGCCCAAGCACTTGGGCCATCCTCCACTGCCTTCCCGGGCCACAGCAGAGAGCTGGCCTGGAAGAGGGGCAACCGGGACAGAATCCGGCGCCCCGACCGGGACTAGAAGCTGGTGTGCCGGCGCCGCAAGGCGGAGGATTAGCCTATTGAGCCTTCTGCAGAGGTGCAACCCAGCTCTCTCCCGGAGGGAATTGCTGCTTTCTGCAAAGCCAGAGCTTTCTCCGGGCTTTCGAGAAACGAGGATGTTTTATCTTTTTCACTCCTCACACCAGCTTCTTCTTTGCTCTTCCCTTCCTTCAAGAAATGATCATTCTTGCCTCCTGTCCTCCACCATGTTGAGGAGTTCGTGCACGGAGCAACAGGGAGCCATAGAAGGTTTTTGAGCCAGGGAGGGACGTGTCTATGATTAAGGTTGTCTTAGGAGGATGATTGTAGCAGAGGCAGAGGTGGAAAGCCAGGAGACTGTTCCAGCAGATTAAGCCAGAAAGAGTGGGGACTGAGACTAAGCCAGTTCACTCCTTTTGGCCCAAAGGTGGCACCAGGGATGGGAGGTGACAGAGGCTTTTCCTCCTTAGCTGTCAAATGCTTGGAACCGCTGCTAAACATCTTAAGCTTTCCTTCACACCAGCTTACACGTTTGAAATCCATTCTTGGACTTTTACTATGGGCTAGACACTGTGCCAGATGCTCTATGTATGTTAACTCTTGTAATCCTTCCCATGGCCTTAAGAGCTAAGCATCATTCCTATCTTCAGTTTGCAGAGAGATTAGACCACTTGCCCAAGGTCACTCAGCAGGAAGTGGCAGAGCCGATCTGAATCTGTGTGGCACCATGGGGCTTTTTTTCCTGGCACCCAAGGGACTGGCATTCAAGCCAGACTTATCAACAGCAACTCACTCACACAAGCCCGAAATTCCAGCCACACAGAGGGACTTTCCCCAACCTCAGCCTTTCCTTGACTTGTGCTCCCCTGCAGGTAATGGCCCCCCTCACAGCTTCTATCTAGTGGCTCCTGTTCTCCCTGACTTTCGGGGTTGGCCTCAGTTTCCCCCTACCCCAGCCCAGAAATCCCCCTCCTTCCCCAACCCTCTGTTGCAGCCAGATAGACTGCCTTTTGATATTTTTTTTTCCCACTTGCTCTGACATGCTGCTTAAACTCTATTCTTGTAAGTCTAGTAGGTAGGCAAGAAATATTGTTACCTTGTTCTGGTCTGGTGGCCTGGGAAAAATGGGATCGGGCCCCAGTGTGTCAGGAAGGGAGATGCAGAGCCAGTGCCTTGGGGCCCACTCTCACATCCCTGCCTCTGATGGAATCTGCAGGACACGAAAAGCAACTCAGAGATTTGACCAATTCATAAAAAGAACGAAAGTAGTGATTAAGCGGTTTTTCCCTTGAGCTGACTGGCCAAAGCCACCTCCTGGCCTTTGCTGAGTCCTCAGAGGCCAGCCCAGGTCCAGAGTAAGTCCCAAGCTTTCAGGCTTTCATTTTCAAAATGAACCCTGACTGACAAGCAGCTACTTCCGTTGCTCTGGAAACTCCCCTTCAAAACCCCAAATCTGTAAACACCAAACCACACATATGCACGCGCGCTTCCAGAATATGCAAACAGCTGCAGCTATATTTTTTAGAATCAGAATGCCAGCGTGGAGAGTGCAGGATGGAAGAATGCTTGCACTATTAATTTTCCTTGCCACTAAGCAGGCAACCCCCTTCCCTATCAGCACTAATAATATCTCTGGTTCCAGTTCAAAGACTGCAAAGGCAGCCGCCTGAGCAGCACCACAGACCCATGACGCATGTGACCTTGATTAACTCTGTTGCCAGAGACCAAAGTCACGGTGCCTCCCTAGCAACTTGTTTCATCTTGACTTAGCAAGCGCTATCTACCTTGGGTCACCAGCTGCACACAAGGTTCCCCAGACCCATCCCTTTCAGTAGAAAGGGCTTTGGAATTTGATACCAGGAAGTGGGGTTAGAGGGAACGGAAAGCACAAGGGATACTACCTACCAACGCACCCAGTCACCCGAAGCATCTGCCACCTGTCCAAGGGAGGGGGATGAAGACTCTTGCTGCCCTTGGAAATGGCCTCCCCCAAAACTGGATGTAGAGTGGGTATTTGCATTGCAAATAGTCTGTGCCTGGCCTCTTCCCAGTAGCAGCCTCTCTAATATATTCACAGGTTGATTTACAGATCCTGCACTATTAGAACTAGAAGAGGGGGCCGGAGTTGTGGCATAGCTGGTAAAGCCATTTGAGCACTGGTTCATGTCCCAGCTGCTCCACTTCCAATCCAGCTGCCTGCTAATGGTCTGGGAAAAGCAGAGGAAAATGGCCCAAGTGTTTGGGCCCCTATCACTCACATGGGAGACCCAGATGAAGCTCTTGACTCCCGAGTTTTGCCTGGCTCAACACTGGCCTTTGCAGCCATTTGGGGAGTGAACCAGTAGATAGAAGACTTCTCTATCTCTTTGTGTGTGTCTCTCTCTCCCTGTAACTCTTTCAAATAAATCAATCTTGGAAGGAAGGAAGGAAGGAAGGAAGGAAGGAAGGAAGGAAGGAAGGAAGGAAGGAAGGGGAAAAGGAAAAGGAAGGGAAGGAAGGAAGACAGAGAGAGAGAGAGCGAGAGCGAGAGCGAGAGAGAGAGAGAGAGAGAGAACTAGAAGAGGGCTTAACATTTCCTTGCTCTTCATTTCCCAGATGAAGTTTAATCATCAGAGAGGATGTTATGAGGCAAAGAAACTTAAACCTGACATGTTAAGCGTACACCAGTCTTGATTAAGAGAGCAGATCAGAAATCTTACATTAAGGGGCCAACATTATAGTGTAACAGATTAAACCTCCACCTGCAGTGCTGACATCCCACATGGGCGCCGATTCAAGTCTCAGCTGCTTCACTTCCCATCCAGCTCTCTGCTGTAGCCTGGGAAAGCAGTAGAAGATGGCCCACGTGCTTGGGCCCCTGCACCCACGTGGGAGACCCAGAGGAAGCTCCTGGCTCCTGGCTTCAGCCAGGCCCAGCCCCAAACTGGGGAAGAGCCCCACCCCACCCCCTGTGACTCTGCCTTTCAAATAAATAAATAAATCTTTTTTTAAAAAAGAAATCTTACAGGGAGGCTCATAATTGATATGCGAGATTTAACTTACACATAACTTTTCAGGACTTGCCAGTGGGATTTGGGAAATTCAGAAAACCCCCAGGTGCAAGAGGAATGTGTGAAAGGTAGCATGTCAGGTTTCTGAGGCTCTCACAGCCCTGGGTCAACAAGAGACTGAGGAACGTTCCTGATGTTCCAGATAGGAAATGTACCTTTTCATTCCTCCAAAGACCAGTGCTGATAGCATAGCACAATTCTCAGCCTGAGCAAAAGCTCCCCTCCCCCGATCGTGTGGGGCAGGGGCGTGACTGAGTCTGGGGAGTGTGTGCACACTGCCAGGCATCACCGTCTCTGGTTGCCATTGTAACGTCCCCAAGTGTCACAGCTTTACGCCAGATCTCCTTTTGGATACCTCTTCCTTACATGAGGGAACAAGTCATGTTTAGTAAGTACTCGTAAAATGCTTTCCCAGTACTTTGGAATTGCTTTACCCCCTGGTCCCTCAGCAGAGTCTGATGTACCTATTAGGGAGAAAAGATTGCCATTTTTTTTTTAAGATTTATTTATTTTATTTGAAAGGCAGAGTTACAGAGACTGAGAGATCTTCCATCTGCTGGTTCACTCCCCATACAGCTGCAATGGCCGGAGCTGGGCCGGTTCGAAGCCAGGAGCCAGGAGCTTCTTCCAGGTCTCCAGTGTAGGTGCAGGGGCCCAAGCACTTGGGCCGTCCTCCTCTACTTTCCCAGGCCATCCACAGGGAGCTGGATTGGAAGTGAAACAGCCAGGATTCAAACCGGCCCCCATATGGGATGCTGGTGCTGCAAGTGGAGGCTTAACCTACTACGCCATAGTACCGGCCCTAGATTGCCATCTTCCTTTGAAAGCTTGATGAGCTCGGAATAGTAGAAGGTGGGAGAATGAAGCTGACCCATACGTGAACCTTGAGACCAGGGCTTCTCCCACTGATTGAGAAAGGGGTAGGCAGGGAGCAGAAAGAAATCTGCAGTCCTGAGTGGAGGCGGGAAACTTGCCTAAGACTTGAGCTACAGTAGCTTAACTGGTGCCTAACAGTCAAGTACGGAC